GGCGTGGGAGAAGCAAATGACCCTGCGTAGACCTGAGGATAAACTTCCCGGACTGTCGGAAGGCCCTGGGTTAGACGGGTTCCAACGGCAGATGGTCCTCAGCCAGCTCAGCCATTGGAGTGGGAGGAGGAAACATCTGGCTCTCTAGATATACGGTGGCCGAGCTTCTGATGTCACCTGGGCTGTGGTTTGGGCTGAGCAGAGGGACAGCCACGCCGGTGTTTTTACAGAGCTGCCCTGTTCCTGACGGGTGGTATCCAAACTCTCCGATCTCCTGGGATACTTTATGAGCTGCCTAATGCCCTTCGGTAAACCACTGCCCTGCTTAAACCTGCCAGAGGGGACTCTGTCACCCACCACCGGGAGCCCTGCCCAGCACAGCTAGAGTCTAGAGCTCCTCGCATGTCCCAGCATCCCCCTTCCCCCCAGTCTGTGGTTCAGGCTGATGGTCAGAGTCCCCACGCTCCGGCCTCCGATCCCCTGGCTGCACAGGAGAAGGGCATGTGGCGGTGGTGGGGCGGGGGGTGTGGAGCTGGGAGAGGCCAGCCTGGACCAGACGGTCGCCACAGAGGAGGCCGCTCACAGTGAATGGCCCTGCCCCGTAGAACAAAGTGGAAAGGCCAGAAAGCACCAACTCCACAGAAGCTCATGCTTCATCCTTTTATTACAAAGGGTCTGCGGGGGCACATATCCACTTCTCAGGCGGGGCTCGGGAGCCTGGTCCCCCTGTCACAGTTGTCATGGTCACATCCGCCCTGGCCAGGCCCCAAGGACACAGGCTCAGGAGTAGCCCTTTCGAGGCCTCCTGCTGCAGAAGCAGGAGGTAGGGGTGTTGACCAGCAGCTTCTCCCGGGCTTCCAGGATGTAGAGGGTCTGAGTGGCGAGGCAGCTGACCATGGGGTCGGGGTCTTCCCGCATGGACCTTAGGGCTAAACACGGAGGCTGCTAAGGGGCTTGGAACAAAGCAAGGCTGCTGGGCTGGGCGCGAGGCCTGGGCCCCGCCGGCGGGCCCGTCAGGTCGGCTGGCGGGCGGGGGCAGCACAGCGAGATGGGGACTGGGCTTTTAAAATACGAGCAAGAATTCCCACTGGGAGGCCACCCTGCTCAGTGGCAAGCAGGATGACGTACTCGCCCGGGGCTCAGGGAGACGGGAGGCCGGCTGCCTCTTGTCCTGCCTCCACCACCAACCTTTTCGGCCCCCTCCGCCACCCCCCTCCTGATCGCCTCTGCCCTCCTCTTTTCCAGAGAATAGCTATGGGTGAAGTGCTCTGGCTTCGCAGAGAGCTACAGTCAGGGATTTGGGCAGCAGCAGGGGATGGATGCAGCAGTGGGGGGATAGGGTGCTTGAGACGGGACAGAGGGAAAGGGAAGAGCATGGCGTTGGTGGGGCAGGGGGCGGTGGGTCTCAGAGGGACTATAGCGGGAGCGGTCCCGGCGGCTCCACAAGGGAAGGGCTGGGAACCCCTGTGTCCCCCAAGTGAGAAAAAAGTTGGATGGCCCTCCTATCAAGAGTTCCAGGAACTGTAATGGCTGCTGAACGGCCTGGAGTTCAACGGGGGTGAGGGTCAGTGAGGGAACATGAGGAGCAGGAGGGCTCTGGCCGACGCCCCAAAGCTAAAGGCCTTAAAGACGAGCCTCCCTCTTCATTCTTTCCAGTGAGCATTTTTGTCAGCCACGTGCCCATTTTCCCTCATTTCTGAGACTTCCCCACCAGCACCAGGAGCCTTCAAAGCTGCAAGGAGTCGTGACTGGGTTACCACTCACCAGCGTATACTTCCTCAATATCACTGGCCTCTTCTGCGTCGAGGGTTGGGATGATCTGGCCTACAGGGGCACACAGAGCACCTCAGGGGCCCCAAAGAGGACCACAGGACCCCAGCTGCACCTGCTCTTGTGTTCCTCCCCAAAATACATACCTCCCTCTGTCTTTCGCTCCCCCTAACTGGCCTTGTCTAGAGTTTTCCCACAAGTAGGAATTACTTCCCCTTCTCCTCTGAGGGTCATCAGCAAATTGGGCTGGGGGAGGCAGAGGGGATCCCTCTGCTCCAAAGACACTTTTCCTTGGGGTGACATGAAGCAGTTCTCACCAGCCTCTGAGCGCCATGGGGGAGCAGCGCCCACACCCTGACGCCCCGCCCCTTGGGAGTTTTGCTGGCCTGGCCTGCCAGGACATGGCCCATTCCGCTGTAGGAAAGGTCACCCAACCCAACCAGGAGCCTGCTGCAGGTGGAGGAACAGGTAGGGACAGAGGGGTGGGTGGAGAATATGCAGACTATCGCAGGGACGATCCTGGGAGCTCCACAGAGAGCCCCTCCAACCTCCAATGTTACCTCAGGCCCTTATATCCTCGTGTCCCAGGTCCTCAGGCTGTTTGAAGGACTCCGGGACAAGGACGCAGTGGCTCCAAGAAGAGGGAAAGTGGTACCTGCAAACCGTACGGCTGCCTGGCGGATGGGGGCCTGTGGGCTCTTGAAGAGAGTCATACACTGCTTCAGAAACCAGAGGGCCTTGTTTGCCTCCTGCCCCAGCTGTAAGAAGAGGAGCTGGATTAGGTAAGGTGCCCATTGCCAGTCCTCCTGCCCCCCTCGGGCCATCCAGAGACATCAGCTTGGTGCAAAACCCTGTCAAAACATTCTAGGGGTGCCTGGCTGGCTCATTGGTGGAGCATGCGACTCTTGATCTTGGACTCATGAGTTTGAGCTCCCCCATTGGGTATAGAGATTATTTTTAAAAATAAATTATTTAAACAAAATTCTACATCTCCATCCCCTCCCACCCTAGCTCCTAAAGTCTTGTTTCCTCCATGAAGCCTTCCTGGATTGACAGGGGGATCGCTTTCCAATAGATTTACCCCAATCTTTCGCTCACACATTCCTCCTACTCCCAAACATAGAGGAGTGAACCCAGTTGTTTCAATATTGCTTTTGTATGTCTTGGCTTAAAATCTTCAATCTCAAGGTCATTTGCTCTAGGCTGCAATAGAATCAATCATGTCTACACCCTTCTATTTAAACACAGCCAAGCAGGGCCACATGTAATTAAGTGTTTTAATACTTTTCTTTCCCTGCCTAGGCATGCACACACTTCATCCAGATTCCCTGCCTTGAAGGTTCTGGGGGATGACATGTTCTGCCTTTTGCAAAGACCTAACCCCATCCCCTGTGTGTCCTTCCCAGTGACTCTCCTACTCCCCCTTTACACTGCAGCCTGAGTACTCAAATGAGGAGGCTACATCCAGGGTTTGTCAAACCTTTTTTGGTAGAACATCTTTTCTTCAAACAAAAATCCTAACTGGAAACCTAAGATTCTGAACCAACAGAAGTGGGACTGCTCCGGTTGAAGGGGGTGTGAGATGGAGCCCCACCCACTGCTCATCTCCCCCAGGTTTGAAGTTACCCTGAGAAACCCTTGGATTCTTGCAACCTGGTCTCCTTGCACCATGCTGCTGATTCAGATCTGGCTTCCATGGTCCAAACCCAACACGCACATCCAGCCTTTATCTCCCTGGACTCCCGCTTCTGTTACCACCCACTGTTGACCACTCACTGCTTCCTGAAACTGTCTTCTTCCTAAATGACCACCACCCTCCTCTCCTCTTGTTCTTCTATTTCTTGGCCTGGTTTCCTTTCCTAGTCTCCTTCCTGGGAAACTTGGAACTGACGTTTCCTGGGATCCTGATGTCGAACCATATGCTTCTCCCTCTATGCAATTCCCTTCGATGAGCCATGGTTGCAACTCAGTGTCCACACATCCGTATCTCCAGCACGGCTCTGTTTTCCAAGCCTCAGTGATTCGGTGATTATGTCTATTTCCAATGGGATAGATCTCCCAAGCTCTACAAACCTGACATGCACAAAATCAAGCCACTACACTATCTTCCTCTCCACACCTGCTCCTGCCTCTGTATTCCTGACCCCAGTCTGTGACACCAGCATTCGCCCAAGTCAGAAACCCAAGAGTTGACCTTTACCTTCACGCTCCACATCAATTAGCTCTCCAGCCCTGGCTAATCCCTCCATGTCTTTGTCTTCATGACCTCATCTTTTCTCCCTGGATCCTCTCTCTCCAGACCCCAGTCCTGTCCCATGTGAAATTATCCTCCAATCTGCAACAGGTGGTCTGTCTAAAGCACACAGCTATCTAACCATGGTACCACTGGCTTAGAGCACTTCAGTGGCTCCCTGTTGCCTACAGCGTGAAGTCCTGTGCCTTATTGTGCCCAAACCCTCCCTGCACAGTACAGCCCCAGCTCCTGCTTCCTGCTTCCCAGGTCAAGACTGAATACCTCCAGTTCATGAGCCAAAACCAGCCTGCAGACTTTTTTCGTTGGCTCCACACAAATTTTTAAACATTGTAAGTTATTTGCCAAGAAAAATGTGGTAAATTTCACCTAAGATCAGGATTTCCTGCTTGTCTTAACAAAGTGGAAAATCTAGCAACACTGAGCCCGCTCTATTTCAGACTCAATCCATTGGTTCTCAACCCTCTCAGCTGGGGAGTGTACTGTCCCAGGGGAATTATAGAGCTGGGGGGATGTTTTTGGTCGTCAGAATGATGAGAGGGAGTACACTAATTTCTAATGTCCCATTGTGTATTTGTATCAAAAATCTATTTCTAATTATCTATGCCCAGAACCTGACCCTGTCTTTTATATAACACAGAATATTTTTTTCACAGTTCAAATACACACTGGGTCTCCTGGAGATGCATCTACAATATGAAGCAAAGAAAGACTGTAGTTCATGTCATGCAGACCTTCACCAAATATTGTTCATCACTTTGAAAGTCACATCACTAAAGGCCACACTTCTTGTGGCATTTGAGTCCCCAGCACAACAATCCAGTACCATTTTGCATTTGTAGTAGGTCAAGTCACAGAGACTCCACAGAGAAGGTCAAGGAGTCAACTACTTCATCGTGTCTTCCAGAGGAATGGGGCCCGGATACTCCCATCTATTATTCATGTTATAGTACATTACATTATGTTATGTTATATCATGTCATGTAGTCATGCCATTTATGTTACGTTGTGTCACATACATATTTACACATTATTTTATTTAAAATTACTTTCATTTCTCCTTTGGAGTCAGGGCATTGTATTTATTTTGGAAATCTCTACAGGTAGATGATATAATCTATGAATTTCATTTCAGGATAAAGGAGGAGTTACTGAGAATGTACTAGAACCAGGCTGTGCAGTGTCTGACCACGCCGAGAACAGAACGAGGTTGTGCAGTGTCCTGACCGTGCTGAGAGGCACTGCCTTCGCTGGACCCCAGGATCTTCGATTCCCCGCCAGGGCCACCCACCCAGTATGCTTCTCTGATTAATGTTCCTTCATGGCCTTGTAGGCATTTGAGTTTTCTGCCCCGGCTCGCATGAGTCCAAGCCACTGATTGCTCCCCACACACCAGGCTCTTCTGCCCTTGTTTCTCAGGATCAAATTATATAAGATGACGTATGCAGAGTCCCTGGAATGGAGTGAGTGCTTTGTTCCACATCCCTGTGTATGGCAGCACCTCGGCCTGCACTCCTGATCCCTTTTCTTTGCCCAAGTGATATCCTGCTTTCCATTTCCCCTCTTCCCAGATGACACCTCCTCCAGGAAGCCTTCCTTCAAGTCCTAGACTGGGCTGGGCACCCCTCCTTTGTACTCTGAAGTACACTCCTCTCTTTTAGGCCTCACCACAGTATTCTGAATTTGTCTAGTTGTGTGTCTAGTTCCCCAACTTAGGGAGCAATGGGAGGGCGGGAACCAGGTCAAGGTGCTGGGCACAAAGTACATGCTCACTGAGCATCTCATTATTAAACTGCAGCTGTTGCAAACCCCAGACGCTCCAGGAAACAGACTGCTGGCCGCCCCACCCTCCCTGCATGGAGCAGAATGGTGAGTAAGCTGCCGCCTTACCAGGGCTCTGAGGATAGCCCACACATCTTTCTCGGAAAATATCACTTTGAGCCTTGACCAGCCCAGTATGGCGGCCGTGTGACAGAGGGCAGACCGGCAGATCTGGAGAGACAGGAAGGTTCAGCATGGGGAGTTACGGGGACAGGGCTGGGAGAAGACACAGAAAGGCACAAGGAGGGGAGACCAATGGCAGGACGTCCAGCTCTGGAGGGAGGGAAGACTCCAGGGAACCCAGAGGGACCCAGGGGTGCGGAGGGAGGCGGGGTCCTCTAGGCAGCTTGGCTGTGCCTACACCTGCTCCCCACTGATGAGCAGGTTGAGACGCCTGGTTGTAAAGACTTTCCCAGCTGCTGTGGTATGACACTGAGAGCCGGAGCAATGAATCTGCCCACCTCCCAGCCTCATGCACCCACCACATGGCTTCCCACACCCCGAAAACAGTCTCCCCGAAACAGATTTCCCCAAAGACATCCAGCAGCTTCGTCACTTGTGTCCATCAGGGGCCTTGCCATGGCAAAGTAGCCTCATCTGGAAACCGAGAGTCCTGTTACAAATCGCATCAGCCACTTCGCAACTTTCCCCAGCTGCCGTCACATCCCTGGCCCCCCAGAACATGGACCAATTCCAGGCTCTCTCTGTCCTGCTTCATCGGAACCTCTTTGCTGGTGGTGGTGGTGCGGGGTGTTCTCAATTCAGTGCAAAGGAGCGTGCAGGGAGCAACTTGGCGGGAAGGCCATGAAGCCAAGGGCAGAGAACCAGGCAGAGGCACTGTGCCAGACACTAGGATTTTCCTCCTTGGAGTCTTCCCACCCAGGGCATTCTGCCGTGTGCTGGTGACCAGCTGGGGAGAGCCAGGAGGGACAGAAAACCCTGGTGCAAGCATCTGGTCACATCTGGCCCCTCCCGGCCACTCGCCAAGGTCAGAGACAAAGCAACTCCTCCAGCATCTTCCAGTCTCGCCACAGCCCCTTCCTTAGCACTTAACACCTGTCCGCATTTACCTTCCATGACAAGCAGAGACGGAAGACCAGGCTCCAGGGCCTGGCCTCTCACCTGAGCCACGCTGATATTCACATCCTCCAGGTGGAGCACAAGGAGGACTATCAAGTTGAGGACCTGGTGCTTCAAGGGGAAGACAAGCACTGTCCTCTTGACCTTAGCCAAGAGAGCCCTGTAGGTCTCAAAGGCCATCAGGCGCAGCTGCTCAGATTCCTAGGGGAGAAGAGACAGACAGACAGACACACACACACACGGAAGACACCTCCACCTCTGTCCACCCTGTAGGGCCGGGGGCCCCGAGCTCCCCGCTCCCAGCGCACGTTCCCACGCACACTCCCGTCCCCCCAGTGATCCGTGATCGGACAGCATCCCCTTCTCCCTTGTCACTGCCGTCTGCTCTCGATACATCTCACGCCTTTTACAGACGCTCCCCGAGAGGACACACGGAAGCAGACCTTTACGGAATGGCCTCACATTCGGACTACAGGGGCCTTTCCGGATAATTCTGCCCAACTCCCTTGGATACCGGAGAAGGGAAATGAGCCCGCAAAGGGCTTCACCTCCTCAAAGAAGGGCCCGAGCATGAAGGCGAGCTGAGTAAGGAAGGAGGAGGAGTGCTGCCAGCTGAGATGCTCGGTGAGACACCTGAGCGCCGCGAGCGCCTCCATCACAATGTCGCTGTCCTGGGAGTAGCAGCAGTTGAGCACGTGGGGCTGGAGGAGGTGGAGCTGTCGCACCTGCGGAGTGACGGCGGCTCAGGAGAGGAGACGTCCGGAGAGCTACTCCTGCTACGCCAAGGGACTCGCATTTCGATTCAAGCGGATCCAAACAAGAGCCAGCTCTGCCGCGCTCTACCACTGTTCCATCCTGGGACTGGGACCGGGACTGGCCCCGTGAATGGGGGGCAGTCAGAGGGAGCTGCCCAGGAGGACCTTCTGTCCTCATGGGAAAAGGGGAGAAGGCAGAGGAGAGCCCTCCTCCCCCTACACCAAGAAGTTCTCAGCTCCACTGTTTTTAGCAGCCCTGGTGATGGTGCCCATCTCTGGGACACCTGGATGGCCTGGGCTCTTGGAATTGGCTTGGCCTTTACTCTGAAGTGACCCCTGGAAAAACCTTCTCTTTTGAGCATGAATGGCGCAGGTCCCTGACCCCTGTATCCAGTGAACTGGCTTCATGAGTGTTCCCTTAGTCCAATCCCAAGAATGTGGTCCACCCTGTCTATAATGACACACTGGACCTCCGGGCCTTTCAATTGCTTGGGGCGACAAGATCTCTTGAGAGCATACCCTTGGCCCCCTGCCCATCTTACCATGTTCCTGTGCTTTGCAAAGATCCCCACCACCTGCAACAGGAGCTTCACCGTGGCGGGCTCCTCATAGTGGAAGCAGTCTGCCAGAACGCGGACGGCGGCTTCGTCCACCATGGCGGCCACACCTGGGCACCGGAGCAGCTGATAAAAAGAGACCAAGAAAACGGAAATGATGGGCAAGGAGAACAAAGATCCCCAGTGACTTTGAATCTAGGTTCCTATTTATTTATAAAGAAATGTTCTTAAGAACAGATGAAGAGGCCAAAGCTTAGTTGAAAGGTAACTTCACACTCCATCATTCCAGAAGTCATTCATTCATTCTGCAGGTTTTCCTCAGGCATCTTTGATGAGGGGAGCTATAGAGGATAAAAGCAAGAAGTGCACCCAGATATTTATAGATAGCTGTGTATAATTATTTGACCGTGGAGAAAAATACGGAAGGATACATATTTGGTTGCTTGCCTCTGAAACACTTGGGAGAGGAAGAGGTGGTAGCTAGACCTGATACAGTAGAAGGGAGGAGGCAAAAATAGGAAAGATAAAAAATGGCTACAATAAAATAAATAGCACACGTGATTTCATTTGTATATTTATGTAAAATTTATGTGGGTTTATATGTCATTTGAAATAACATTGTAAAAGACAAAAGCTAATCAGATACATTTAAGCCAGAGGAAAGTGCTTTTGTGTGTATGCACGCATGCACAAGCGTGTGTCCGTGTTCACATGTGCGATCCTACTGGCAAAAATCATTTCCGGACGGAGCCTCGGTTTCCACCTGTCTTTGACTGGCAGCCCCGCAAGTTTCTCAAGCTCTCTGAGCTTCAGTTTCATCCTCTACAAAACAGAGATAGTAACGTCTTTTTCACAGAGTTGCAGTGAAAATCAGAGTCACTGAGCTCCCCTGTTCCTTGAGCGCCCTGAAGAAAAGCACACGGCCCTGTCTGTTTTCAATGTTTCTACTTGGGATCATCACAGGGGAATGGCCGAGGGTAACGAAACAAACAGGGAAGTTGTAAAGGGCTGTGAAATACTAGAAAGCTTTCCCAGCTGCGGTCTCTTGTTTATAGATTGTGCTCAGCTGTCTTAGCCGGTGCATAAAACCCCATTGGTTCTCCACTTTAAAACCGGCTCTCTGGTGAATGCCTGAGAGTGAGGTGCACCCATCTCCTTACTCTGGTGCAGTCCCAGCCTTCTCCCCAGCCTGCCGACGCCTCCCTCCGCTCTTCGCCCGAAAATCCGGTAAGGGTGGTAGACGAATAATTGCCATTTACATGTCCACTTGTTTCAGTTGGGTATTATGCACTTGGGGGAGCTTCTAGAGTGGTTCTCAGTCCTAGCTGTATTTCTAGAATACCGCTTAAAACTTGGGAACTTCTAAAATAAACCGATGCCTGGACTTCATCCCAGACCAATTCAAATAGAATATGAAGGCAGGGAGTCAGGAGAGGGAGTGAAGTTGTGGTTGGGCATCAGCATATTTTAAAGCTCCCCGCAGGATTTTAATAGGCAGCCAGAGGTCAGAACTGCTCTATAGAGAGTGACAACCATCTTGTGGTGCTCTCTGTGCCCCCAGCCTCGCCGGCTTGCACCTTGTACTGTTTCTCAAACTAAGTCCGAGGACTACCTGTCCTGCAACACCCACTGGAGTCTTTACAGAAAACGAAGACTTCTGGGCTTTACTCCAGAGCCACTGAATCCACGGCTCTGGGGGTGGAGCCCAGGAATCTGCATTTAAACAACTGCCTAGTGACACGAGGTCCTCTAATGCCGGACACCTACTGAGTTAAGGCACCCTCTTCTGCGCAGAGTTGTGCACCCTACACCCACATCCCCACATCCCCAGCAGGAGTTCAGCCAACATAACCTACATCCTTGAATGCATATACCGGCACCCCCTACCACCGTGCACATACTCGCTCACGGCCGTGGGCACCTTCCCACAAGACAATGCCCTACAACCTACATCAGGACACATTGTGACACGCTAGGGGAATATCTGCTTAGATTCCAGTATTAGCACTGCATTATCTTCTGTTATGGTCAAGTGTAATCCTGCTCCATTAAAAAAAAAAAAAAAAATCAGGTGGCTTGAATTTTAAAGGGAGCCTATTTAAAGCTACAGTGAGCCAGAAATCCCAAAACTTTCCCAGACACTGCTGGTGGAAGTAAAATTTGGTACAACTTTACTGGAAAGTAATTTGGCATTAATGTAGAAAATCATAGAAGACATTCATATTTTTTGAACCAGCACTTCTACTTATATTCAATATTTAATAATCTGGAATATGGGGAAAGTCTTTTGCACGGAGGTGTTCCCTACAGTGATATTTATAATAGTGTAAAATTGGAAACAAAACGTCTAATAAATTATAGAACATCTTTGTGATGAAATATTATATCACTGTTAAAATTTATGCTTGAAGATGCTTAAAGAGAGCAAGATACAGAGTATTAGAGAATGATGTCCGCTATGATAAACACGCGCGTGCACGCCCCCGCCCCCCCCCCCATTCGGGCCAAAACCTAAAAGTGGTTTCCCCTGGGTATTGTGACTGTTAATGGTTTTATAATTACTAAAGTTCTTTTTCATATGTTTTAAATTCTCTACGCCTTTTTTCTGTCGAATGGCTAAAATACATTGAGTCAATCAGTGGTACTGAGCAAAGATTCCTTTTAAAAGGCTGATGAGGTCGAGGCAGCTGAAGAAAAGAGCTATGTCTTCCCAAAAGGTCGGGACAGAGTTGAGCTGCCTTAAGATTCAAGGAGGAATTACACCAGGTATATTCCAAGCCTGTGACTCCAGGCAACCTAATTGTCATTAACAGTGTCCGCCCATCCCTCTGTGAGGCGGGGAGTAAATTAGGCCACCCCTTCCTCCACCAGCCATCCCTGGGGGTGTCCTTTGGGTACAGCTGCCTTCCAGAGGAATCACCCTCACCTGACCTCCTCCCACCAAGAACCACTCACTTCAGTCATAAACACGAGGGCCGTTAAGTGATTCGTGTAGTCCAGTTCTTGGAGCATGCTGATGATGAGGCTGAAGATGGGGCGGTTATGCCAACAATTCTTGATGACCATGGTCCTGCCGATGAGAGCAGAATGCTCGGGATCAGGCCTGGGCCCCAGAAGAAAGCCAACGGGCTGAGAGGTCGTCTGGCCAGGGACAGGGGCAAGGCCTACCTGGCCAGCAGAGTGATGCCCTCATAATGTCTTTCAGGACTGCTGAGCAGCTCCCAGGCCCCAAGTTTCTGAACATAAGACACATAGTCTCCATACCCGGTACTTAGCATCAAGGTCTTCAGGGCCTCTATGCTGGAACTGGAGAAAAGGCAGAAAGCAGACAGGAAGTCATCCCCACCATCTGTGCTCCTCTCCCTTACCTGCAGCCTGCCTGTCTACGCAAATCATGAACCACTGGTAGTGGGACAGCCCTTAGAGACCCGGGCTAACATTTTACAAATGAGAAACCAAGACCAAGAGAGATGTGGGGTCCCTGAGGTGGCGAGGGAAGCCAGCAGAAGGGTAGGGAGTGGAGTCAGGTGCACTGTTTTATCCATTATACTGATTTCACTTGGGTATAGAATCTTGGCATTGGCCCAGTAAGTCAGAAATAAAGAGTCTTTTCTAAAAAGTCCAGTAAGACTTGTTGAAATGGTGTATGGGGAACACACACTGTGCCCTACATGGGAGGTGTGAGAAGGTGTCTGGGCCCTGGGCAGGCAAGTGGCAGGGGAATAACTAGGCCTGGCTGCTGGATGGGTCCTGGAGCACAATCACTAGGAACCCTGGCCCAGAGACCAAAGGTACCTGACAGGGTCCACCCATTCGGTTACATGCTGCTGATCCTGGATGTCCGTGTCCCCTTCAAGCACGAGGAAGGAGATCCGGAACAGCAGGGCCATAAACAGGGAGGAGAAGAAGGTCTGCACCTCCATCCGCCGACTCGGTTCCAGCAGGAGCTCATGGATGGCCCTGGTGGCCTGAGGGTGGGGAGGAGGGCGGGGGCATTATCATCTTTATATTCCAACTCTCAGGTCCTGTCACCATGAAATCTCTGCCCATAGTCTATCACCATGATGGGCTGGCCCAGAAAAGCCCATGCTGCCAGGGCAAGTCAAAACTAAATTACTGTGAGCCAAGAAAATAAGGGGCAATTTCTAGAACGTTATTTTTAAATATTGTCATCATTGTGGTGGTTTTTTATTCTCTCAAAGATGTTGAGAGTTAAGGGGGTACTGGGGGTGTTTGTCTTACCTAAGTTCACGCAGGCAGAATGAGAAGTTAGTTCTTTGTCTCCCTACGAGGCAGAGAAAACCCTCCAACTACCACAAGACTCTGCCTTTATAATGTTTGACCAAACACGGATATGTAAAAGGGAGAGGCCCCAAGAGCTCAGGACAGCGTGGGACAGGGCACCAGGGAAGCCCCACCCCCACCCCAGCCCCCTCCATGGGCCCCTCCATACAATCAACGGAGAGATCTCCATCCCGTGGCTTGGCTCCTGGCCCTTTGATTTCTGATGTGGAGCCAGTTTCTGCAGCAGAAATTCCATGATCACTTCATAGCCTTTGGGGAATGATGCCAGGATTTCCCAGGGCTTGTGAACCCCTCTGTAGAGGCAGAACCCCACCAACATGGTCACCCTCCATAGATTCCCCAGGGCTTCCAGGGAAAGGGACGCCAAGCTCCTTTGCCCAGTGTTCTAGCCCCTCTCTTTTTCTCCTTTCACTCCTTTTACTTTGTCATTACCTCCAGACCTCCCAGTCCTCTATCATCTCACACATAGCTAAATCCGAAGATGCTCACTTGGCCTGTGAGCCTGATCTGAGAAAATCTCTCTGGCCACACTTCAAAGCTGCAGATCAGTCAGAAGAGCGTCCTGTGGTGTCCTCTCTATCGCCTTGTCCAAGCTCTCATTACCTACCTGGTACTTATTGGACATTAACAAGCAATCTTAATTTCCCAAAGATTAAGATTCTCTTAATTTTTTAAATTTCTTTGCAAAGAAATTATTTCCTTTTGGTGCTGAGCTGGCCAAGACCGAGAAAGCACATTCCCTTCAATCACTTCCCCTGACCGGTGCTAGAAACACTGGTCAAGTATGAAAGCGACAACTTGACGATTTTGAAAATTATTAATAGCAGGTGGATTGGGGGAAGAAAGCAACCATTTGAAAAGCAACCCTTACTGGATGAGTTTCCCAGATTTCTTTTCTCTCTTCTCTCCCAACCCTGACCTGAAGCTGGCCCCAGTGTTAAACTATGCAGCAGGAACATGAAACAAAATCTATGAGTAAAACACTGTCATTCTGGCAGAAGGTCTGGGAAAACGGGACCCTAGGACTTGTGGCTTTAGGAGCGTATGGGTGGAATCTTTGTTTCTTTGTTTATTTTCTCTCCCAACCCTGTCCTGAGGATGACTCCAGAAGCCTGCTGTGTAGTGGAAGTAGAGGTGGCAACTGCAATAACACAAGGGACTTATGACCCAGAGGGTAAGTGTGTGTGGAAGGGAGAAACCCCCTTTTCTCTCTCTCTTTTCTCTCTTTACTGCCTTAAACATGGACCCAGTTGTGTAATTATATTGGCACAAGCAGTAAAATTGTGAGAGAAGACCCAACTTTTATATAGAGGACTTGAAAAAGGTGTTCCTGGAAGCAGAAGGTGGGAGAAATCTCAAAGAGGAGAAGAGAGAGAGAGAGAGAAGTTCCTAGTTCTGTATGTGAGCCGACACCTAAGTCCTGGGATCACTCCTACTACACATGCACAGGGTAGGCCCAAATGACCCTTGAGAAGCGCATCTGTAAGACAGACCCAAATTAGCACGGCAAAGACTTTAAAAACTTAACAGACATTGAAATTACATTCAACAGAAGGTGAGACGAAACTTGCAGTCCAAACCATACACCAGGTTGATTGCTTAAAAAAAAAAAATCAATATTCTTCAAGAGAATTTAACAAGACCAAGAGCCTCACACCATCATATTAAAAATGTCCAGACTACAACCCAAATTTACTTGGCCTATGAAGAACAGGATAATGTGATCAATTCCCCAGGAAAAAAAAATAAACAACAGATGCCAATCCTGAGATTACCAAGATGTTGAAATTAGCAGTTGAAAAATTTTCCAGATAAAGACTTTATGTAGACATTTTAAACATGCTCCATGAGGTAAAGATGAACATTATTGAGATGAATGAATAAATGTTCTCAGCAAAGGAATAAATGTTCTCAGCAAAGAAATAAAAACTATTAAAAAAAACAACCTAATGGAAATTTTAGAATTGAAAAATAAAATACCTGAAACAAAAATTAACTGGGACCAATAGGAAATTGGACATGATAGAGGAAAGAGTTTGTGAACTTGCAGAAATTACACAATCTGGGGAAAAAAAACAAAGAAATTAGAAAAAAATTAACAGGGCTTCAGGCAGTTGTAAGACACTATCAGAAAGTCTAACACTCATGTCATTAGAATCTGAGAGAAGAAAGATATTGGTGCAGAAAGTGTATCTGAAGAACTAATGGCCTAAAACTCCCCCAAATTTGGTATAAGACATACACTAACAGACTCAAGTTCAGTATGCTCAAACAGGATAAACTCAAAGAAAACATGTCCAGACACAACATAATCAAACTTCTGAAAACCAAGATAAAAAAATCTTGAAAGCCACCAGGAAAAAAACAGCATACTGCATACAGGAAAAATAGTTTGAATTATTGCATATTTCTCATCAGAGACTATACAGTCCAGAAGAAAATGGAATGGCATATTTAAAGTGATAAGGGGAAAAAAAAGCCATCAACCTAGAATTCTATATCCAGTAAAAATATTCTTTAGAAATTAAGGTAAAATAAAGACACTCCCAGATGAAAAAAACTAAGGGAATTTGTCACCTGCAGACCTGTTCTGAATGACATGCTACAGGAAGTTTTTCAAGTTGAGAAATTTTATCAGAAAGAAACTTGGAACTTCAATAATGAAGAGCAACAAGAATGGTAAATATTTGGGCAAATGTAACAGACCATTTTTCTCTCAAGTTTAAAAATAGGTATGATTATTGAAAGCAAAAATTATAACTTTTTTGGTGTCTTTCTTCAATGTGCTAGATGTAATACATATCACAACTATAAGATAAATTAGGGAAGGAAAAGGAACCTATATTTTGAAAGCTTCTACATTTTCTTGGAAGTTCTAAAATATCAACTTTACATAGACTGTGAAAATTTGGGTATGTTAACAATCCTAAGACCCACTAAAATCCTAAAACATTGGAACAAAAAACATAGGAGACAAACAGAAAACAAATCATAAAGTGGTAGATTTAAATCCAACTATATCTATATATATCTGTATCTAGATAGATAGATAGATACAATGGAATATCCTTTGCCATAAAAAATGAGAAACTCCTGAAGCACATGAGTGGCTCAGTTGGTTAAGCGGTTGCCTTTGGCTCAGGTCATGATCCTGGGGTCCTGGGATCAAGCCCTGCATCAGGCTCCCTGCTCAGCGGGGCACCTGCTTCTCCCTCTCCCTCTGTCTCCTGGCTTGTGCTCTCACTCTCTCTGTCAAATAAATAAAATCTTAAAAAAAAAAAAAATCCTGTCATTTGTGACAACAGAGGGACCTTGAGGGCATTATGCTAAGTGAAATAAGTCAAAGAAAGACAAATACCGTATGATCTCACTTATATGTGGAATCTTTAAAAATGAAACAAAGCAACAAAAAACTCAGAACAGCCTTAGCAAATTTTAAAGAATAGAAATCATACAAAGTATGTTTTCTGGCCATGATGGACTTAAACTAGAAATCAACAACAGAAAGATATCTGGAAAATCATCAAGTATTTGTAAATTAAACAACACTTCTAAATAATACATGGGTCAGAGAGGAAGTCTCAAGGAAAATTAGAAAAGATTTTGAACTGAATGAAAATGAAAATACAACATTTTAAATTTTTGGATGCAGCTAAAGAATGCTTAGAGGGAAATTCATAGTATTAAAAATGTTTGTTTAAAAAGAAGTTCTCAAATCAGTAATCTACATATCCACCTTAAACTATAAAAAGATGAGCAAATTAAACTCAAAACAAGCAGAACAAAGGAAATAATCAAGATAAGAGCAGAAATAAAATGGAAGTAGAAAAATAATAGGGGAAAAATCAATAAAAGCTAATTGTTAGAAATAATAACATTAAGAAACTGCTAGCCAGACTGACCAAGAAACAAAGAGAAGACACAAATTACCAATATCAGTAATGAAAGAGGGGAAATCATTAGGGACATTCAAAGATAATGAAAGAATACAATAACCTACTCCTTGATCATAAATAAGGTAACTTAGATGAAATGGGCCAATTCCTTGAAATACAGGAACTCTCAGCATGCACTGAAAAGGACATAGATAATCTGAATGGCCCTATAACTGCTGAATAAATTGAATCCATAGTTTAAAAAGTTCCAACAAATAAAACTCTAGATCCAGATGTTTATATGCAACAAGCTGAACCCAGACTCAGTTCCTCACACCTAAATTAACCAAAAATGAATCATACACATAAATATAACACTTGAAAGTATAAAACTCCTAGAAGAAAACATGGAAGAAAATCTATGACCTTAAACACAATCTGTAACAGAAAAAAAAAAA